TCCAAGGACCAAACACATCTTGATGTTTGTCGTGATGTTTTGTATCTTTTTAAGACCATTCCCTTTGTTAGAATGCCTTTTCGTGACTGTGATCCTGGCTTCTCTGCCTTTAAGAGTCAGGCCAATAGTGACTTCTTTGACTTCCCATCTTGGGTCAGATGTTCCCTCCTCTGTACTTCCAAATATGGGTCATATACCTCTGCTCTGATAGACTGTTTCCAAAGATGGTCACAAAAATTCCTCCAGTCCCCCACAAACTTTTGCAAGCTCACCCCATTAAGAAGCAGAGCCCATTTCCCTTCCCCTTGCATCTGGACTGGACTTGTGACTAACTTTAGAACAGAATGTGGCAGAAATGAGTGTAAGCCTTACAAGGCCTTGCCATTTCCATTTTCACTTTCTTCGAAGCCACCTTTTATGTAAAGAAGCTTGAGCTACCCTGTAGATATTGAGAGATGACACAGAGAGATTATCCTCGTGAAGGAGACACAAAGTGTCCCAGACAACAGTCAGTACCAAGGTCTCAATGGCTCCATATTGGATGCTCATTAAACACCATATGGAGCACAGACAGCCGTCCCTACCAAGACTTGCCTGAATTCCTAGCCCACAGAAATCAGCAGCAGTTGTTTAACATGATTGAATTTTGGGGTAATTGTTAGACAGCAATGGATAACCACAATATTTCCAATATCTATTATAGAACTTGTCCTTAAATACCATAATTACTTATTTACTTGTCTGTCACATTTGTGAGCTACTATAAATGGAGACAGACTATTTTCATCTTAATAGCTGTGACACCTGACATATGGAAATGCTTTACAATGGTAAACCTAGGAAAAAATGAGATTTATTAAGGATATCACAGAGAAACCTTGCCACACTGGAGATTTTTTTAAAAGGAAATAAGCACCAAAAAACAAAAGGTCCTAGAGAATGATTGGGAAAGACAAGAATGGATGAAAATTCAGAGCAATTGCAAGGGACCTACAAAATGTGTAGTTTATAAATTCCTCTAATAATTGGTGAGATTACTGACCCCTGTTTCAATCAATATGCAGCCTAGATGGGCCCCACAGTCATGAGTATTTACAAGGGCCTGTCAGGTAGCTATCACTCTGTGCAATTAAACTGTAACTCGTTGTTCTCACTCTCCAGAAGTTTACTGTAGCAGAAAAACAGATGTACCAGCACACTGTGGGCTTCAGGAGGATATGAAAAAGTGAGGAGAACAGAAGGCTCAGATTCAGTGGCTTTAGACCTAGGAAGGATTTCCATGAATCTGCTTCATATTTTCCCTTCAAGTAGCATTTATTGAGCACCAGCTTGGCATGGCACTCGCTCTCCCTCTTATGCTGAAGCCTTGCCAAACTGAGAGAAGTTTCTCACATGTTCCATACTCTGTCATGCCTCATAGCCTTTGCTCTCTTCTTCTTCCTTCCTGGCTTCCATGCCCTTCACCTAGCAATGCTTATATTCATCTCTGGAGCTCCTCTCACCTTCTTTTCCTCATTCAGTCCCCAGGAAGAAATCTCCCATTTACTCTGTCATTTCAAATATCTCCAGATTCAGTGTGAGTCTTCCCTGCTCTGCAAAGCCATCACTGATCACCGCAACCTTGGGTTTCCTAGAATGTAGTGGAAAGGGAACTGGTTTGGGAGCAACATGGATTTGGGTTCAAATCCTGGCTGTGCTGCTTGTGATTCTGCACAAGCTCTGTAATCTCTTATGTTTCCTCATCTGTAAATTGGGCCTGGTGCTACCACTTCACAGGGCTGTAATGAGGGCCTGGGAGATCTCTACATAAAGTGTTTAGCTGAGTCCTGGTATGTAGTGCACCAGTGATACATGCCATTTTTTCCCTCCTCTCTGAACTTCTGGTATTTAATACCTGCACCACTCATTTGTCCTCAAATCATAGTTGTTTTGTGACAGCTCTTGTCCTGTATCATCATTTAACTTAATGTTATTCCTTATTCAATTTTAAAATAAGCTTTCTCTTAATAGCTAAATTATAACTTAAAAAAATATCTTTATATGTCTCAAGAACAACAGATTCTTAATAAATATGGGGGCATGAATGAATTCACAGTGGGGTAAGCAGCTACCTCTTAGGGCTGTCTATATTACACTTTGTAAAGTACAGCATTCCAAGTCAAGAACTCACTTAATTAGAATAACTCTAATTTCCGGATATTTTTGTTTTCCAGGAAAGAAATGATTAGGGAAAAGTTCAACAGTTTTCTTTCACCCTGATCAGTGTAACAGAGGAAAATGAAGACCCCATCCCCTGAAAAGATAACTCGGAGGCAATGCAGTATTAAGAACAATGAAGACAGAAAGACGACTCTTCCAACTCCAGGGTTTTTGTTAATATACATGTATGACCACATCAGAAATAATGAGTGGACATGAAAGAGCAATTATGTGAAGAGTAATCCCCAATTAATTGTATGGGAATTAATTAAGTAAGCCAATAGGAAATATCAAGTTTGGATTAAGATATTAAGGGCCCTTCCATCATTTAGATGGATACACTCATGAGGAGGGAGAACAAATCCTCTGTGACTGACTCAGACTCCATCCGTCAAAAGTACGGGGTAGGATGACATATTATAAGTGAACGAATAAATGGACTTAGTCAGTGATGAAAACCAAGGGTCAGTGCACCCTCAGGACATATGAGGTTTAAAGAGAAGATAATACGAAATAGGGTGAAGTTCCAAAAAAGCTCCAGAAAGGATCTCTAGAAGTTTCCTAGATAAGAGTCTGCTCCCTTGCTAACCTTGAGTTTGGGACAGTGAGCTAAACTCCAGTGTGGGGCTGGCAAAGCCATGCTACACTGGAGCAAAGAGCAGGAGGGTTCTTGAGAGAGAGCCTCACGGTGATGCTCACATATATTTTTTTTTATGCCAAAGAACCTTTTGTTCAGAGTCTTGCAGAGCCCCACAGTACATAAAAGAAGCAGAGGTAGTGCCGTATGATTGCAAAGAAGCAAGAGGAGAAAGGGTGAGGGAATCTTGGAAGAAGCTGGTAGAATCTGGGATCCCGCTTCCTAGGACCTTATGCTTGGCAGAACGCGTTGGGAAGACCACTGGCCCAGGATATCTATAAACCTTTATGAATTGCTCTTGTCATCCGGCAAGGTTTTTGGCTATGATCCAGTTTGTTAAAGTCTTCCAAAGCAAAATGTACTAAAACTAGAGGCTGAAGATGATGTAGTAAACATGACTTCATTCCTCTCAAGGGGAAAACCTTACTACTTGTCTGCCTTACTACACTGAGATCTCAGCAGGGTTTATTCTTTCTGGAAATATTTTTCAAATAATAACTGAGACTCTCTGTGGAAGCTAATTTCAATTTACTAACACCTAAGTATATCTGAACCAACAGGTTCTGGATGGCTCTTCAGAATGAGCTGTTAGAAGAGACAAGAGCAGCCCTCATATTTCCTAAGAGAGCCCTTGATGTCCGAAGGTATTTTCAGTCTTACGGGACCGCTTAGTAATAAACATTGGGATCCTGAGTTCCATCCTAACTTAAGAGCGAATGTAATCATTGAGTTAAGTTTCAAACCTCAGACACTAGAAGGTAGTTAAATAATCTATTAAAGTAAAGAGACAGAAGAATGGCTTTGAAGGCCTTTCTGTCAAATGAGAGCCCTCAGGGTCATACTGGCTGAGAGTATAAGTAGGTCTGTAGTCAGTATTTCCAGCATGTCAGGGGCATGGAGCATCTTGGGTGGTTAGTAGTCTAAATCAACATTTACTGACAAATAGATGGCAGATACTATTATGACTGGCCTCATGGGAAACGTAGGAATTAAATGTTTTCTCTTCACACTGTAGTATGTTTCAGATACTCAGCACAGAGGCCACACCTGAGGTTTTTGGTGGACACTTCGAAGCCGAAGGTCATGCCTATTGTTAAGAGAGGGACACATTTTGGGAACACAGCCTTTTCACACATGCTCCAGGCTCCAGAGTGGCCCTTCCCATCCATGTCTTTCAACTGGAAGCATGAATTTAATTCACCAAGAGGGGTAGACCAGCCCCCAGCCTGCTTTTCCTGTCCTGTGATCTTAGAACAATCTGACCTTTTCCCTGGGTGGATGCTGGTTCCTAGGGGAGGGATGTGTCATGCAGGGCTCCAGGGGTTCCCTGCCCAGCTCCACATTTCCTAAGAGTGAAGCCACCTGTTTGGCTATGCTAATTTGCTCCTGATGTCAGGGAGCTCACCCCTGCTGCTTCAGCAGAGGGCATCACTGTGAGAAGGAGGGAAAGGTACCTTTTCACAGGTACCTTATATACCTAGGATCCCTCTTTGAATGTCCTCATAACATTTTCTTAAGTTCCTCTTCCTCTTCAGTCTATCCCCATCAAACATTCTGTCAGAGCAAAAGCCAAAAACGGGAGGGGGGGAGAGGAGTATCAAATGGGAAAACAATGAAAGCCTGTTTGGCTCCTGTGTGCAGCCCGCAACAATAAGCGACACTTTCTGAAGTGTCTCAGAAAGGAATGCCTGTGATGTTCTTTCAAAGAAGGACTCTGGCCCCGAATCAAGCTGTAAGCCGTGACAATGCTCCACTAAACACCAAAGAGAATTCGCCTTTCAGCCAGAGAGGCATTTCGCATGTACTGGGGGAAAATGCCACCCACACCACGTCACCTCAGCACATTTACTGTCAGCCCTGTGACTGTTGGGTGGACAGAAACTCAGCTCAGCAGTCTGCGCCCTCAGAACTCTGTCCCCTAAGATGTGCTCACGGGAAAGCGCAAGTATCTGCGCGAGTTTAAGGCTCTCGGGTCCTCTCTCTCGGACAGAAAGACATTCTCCCTTTCATCCCCACCTAAACTTTCCGCGTAGCCAAGTATTTGAAATTAGCTGAAGTGTCAAAACACTTCGGGAAAAGGCCTTTCAGTCGGGATAACTAAACACTGCCTGGGAAAGTTCAAGTCCTTCGGAGGAACGGCGGGGGGGTGGGGATCGCCTCTTACCTGGGCTTCTTTCACGATCCCATTTTTCGCGCAGTTTCCACTTTGCAGGCTGCCGCTCTGTTTCCTGTGATTGTGCAGATCCCCGTTCCAGACGGCACCACCTCCAGGATTAGCCATTTGCGAGAAAGGATGGGATCCAGCCGGTTTTCGTCCAGAGGTTCTAGGCAGGCTTTAGTTTTGAAGTTGGTCAGGGGATGCGAGGCAGCACTTTGGGCTGAGTCCCTGAAGGAATCCAACCGATCAGGCTTTCCAGAGGAAGAGCAACAGCCTATCTTTGGGGCAGATCTTTGAAACGAAAAACAAGTGGTTACCTTTACACTCCTCAGCTCAGACTGTGACCTTCAGGACCACAAACCTGCTTCCGAAACTGCAAAGGAGATTGCCCATGTTGTCCCCTTGGGGGGGCTGAAGAAATCTGGAGACTGCAAAACCCAGAGGCAAACTGCGAGGAGGCGGGCTGGGGGGGTGGAGCATCTTTTAAAGACACACACACACACACACACACACACACGCAGCACAGTCAAGGTCTCCTATGTGCAGTCAGTTTCGAATTTACGTCTACCCCCACCTCTCCCTCCTGCATCTAATTACAACTTTTGGTTATAGACCAAGCTCAGAGTCAGCATTCTTTTTTCCATAAGACAACACAGCAGTGGTTGTCTGGGCCAGCAAGAGGGAAAGGAGAATGGGAAGTTACTGTTTCACCAGCAGGGAGGTTTTTAGCTGGTTCATGGATGGCAGTGGTCTCTGCCACTGAACTTTACACTTCAAAATGGTTAAAATGGTAAATTTTGTGTAATGTGGGTTTTACCATAATACAAAAATGGCAATAATAATAATAATAATAATAATATTCAGAACCCATCTGATGTTAAAGCCAGTGATAACGTGAGAGGTATAAGTTCATCAAGAATTCCAGTAACACAAATCTGGAAGACAGAATATTTGGTTTCTGGTTAAGGCTGTGTTACTTTATCACGTGACTTCAGGAAAGCCATTAACCTTCTTTTTGCCTCAGTTTCTTCACCCGTAAAAAGAGACAAAACATTTTAGATGGGTCAGTGTCCAAGGGGGTAGAAGGAAAAGAAAAGTGTGGCCTGGATTTGTTACTGACACAGGTGTTGTGAGGCAGATGGTGACTGCAGTGTCACAGTCCTGCATACCTCTGGTTTACTCATTAACTCTATTCTCTCTATGCATTAGTTACCAGGGGGCTGTTTTCTCCTACCATCAATTGGCATTGTGGTTTGTTGGACAGTGTCATTTACAGCCTGTTCAGTCCTCAAGCCCACTGTCATGGTTGCCCTGAATGGAGACTTCTTTAACATCAGGCACTTAGGAAAAACAAAAACAAAAACAAACAAACAAAAAAAAGAGCCATTTATTGGATCAATGGACAAAAACAAAGACATACACAAGCAAAAAAACAAAAAAACAAAAAAACAAAAAAATACAAACCAAACAAACAAATAACCCAGAAAAACAGAAATGGTCCCTGTTGTCAGAACCTCATTTCTTGGTTCTCAACTCTCAAGGGTTGGGTTTGTTTCCCCCCAGTAAGATGTGGCTTATGGAGGAGGTGATAGTAATGCTTCTTCTAGCCATGGTTTGCATGCGAGGGTTGCCAATTTTCCACCCCAGGGAGAGCTATAGGAATAAGGTAAGGTCTTAGGCCAAATGATGAGATAGGCCTAATGCCAAGTGTGCCCACACTTTGTTTCTCACTCTCAGACTTTCTATTGCATCTCTCCCAACCTTTGTTATCAGAGCAGAGCTAGCTTTTCTCTGGCGTCTTTCTTCCATGACTGTTACACTGGAAGTGGTTATTTTTTGTTTTGGCTAATTTCCTTCTAGACTTATGCAAAAGGGAGATGAAAAGGGAGGATGGGACGCTGATAACTGGTGGCCTGACTGCCCCAGCTTACTTAGTGAGACAGGTTGAAGGGGTACCTGGATGGCTTAGTTGGTTCGGCATCTGACTCTTGATTTTGGCTCAGGTTTATGGGATCTAGCCCCACATCCGCATTTGTACTGACAGTGTGGAGACTTCTTGGGATTCTCTCTCTCCCTCTCTCTCCGCCCCTCCTCTGCATGCCTGCTCTCTCAAACTAAATAAACACTTTTCTTTTTTAAAGAAAGACAGGTTGAAGGCATGGTGTTGTTTTGACTCAGCTCTAATGATCCATACAAGGTTAATTTTGGAATAAAAATTTTGAGATAAAACTAACTAAATTCTGTACATTAGATGTTTCTATCATTCTTCCTCTTTCTTTTCTTCTTCCTTGTCCTTCCCTTTCATCTTTCGAATTTCCGTTTCCTTTCTTCCTACCCTTCCTCCTCTTCCTTTTTCTTTTTGTTTTTATTTTCTTTTTACAACAGGACAAAAACCATATATAAAGAATGTATCTCAAAACAGAACTGAAATCTGCATCACTTTGTTTTCTCCCTACCCTCAATTACCAACGTTAGATAATCACACATCAACCTTCGGGAAATATCTACTACATGTTCCTACTCTTGAAACTTTCCCACTTTACTTGCCATATTGGAATATGTGAATTCCAATATGCACAAAATCATATTAAGACAGCAACCATTTGGCATCAGGCACTGTGGATGTGCGTAATCATGATGGCTCTTCGTGTCTCCAGGCAAAATAAGTGGGGAGGTCTATTTGAATTGCATTGTAGCTTTGATTTTTAAAGACATTTATTGTTAGGTCTGAATCTTTGTGTTCTCCTAAATTCATATGTTGGAATCATGACCCAAGGTTATGGTATTAGGGAGTGGGGTGGTTGGGATGGGATTAGGTCAAGTTGGGAGAGTCTTCATAAATGAGATTCGTGCTTTTAAAAAGAGGTCTCAGAGAGCTCCCTTGCCTCTTCAGCCATGTGAGGTTACAGTGAAAAGACAGCCATGTAAGAAGCAGATTCTCACCAGACACCACATTTTCCAGGTGCCTTGATCTTGGACTTCTATCCTCCAGAACTGTGAGAAAAAAACTTTTGTTCTAAGCTACTCAGTTTATGATATCTTGTTATAGCAGCCCGAACATACTAAAACCTCAGTCGACACTAAATGCCAATTGAATGTTGGGTATGATTCGGTGTCTCTGAATAACTAAGTGAACTTCAGATCAACCAGGAAATTTAATAAGTATTTCAATAGCTGCTAAGTATCTGGTTATTTACTATGCCTTTCCATACGACAATGAACAAGATAAACAGTCTCCACCTTCACAGAGCCAAGAGTTAGCAGCACAGCACTTACATATCTTTTCAAGATAGCTGATTAGTGAAAGTAAAAAAAAAAAAAAAACCCTGCTCATTAGTGTATTAAAGGCAAAGATGAAATTAGTTACCCGTGGCCTTGTGGTGTTCTCTGAAGGGGGTCTTGGGCCCAGATGTCTACTTCTAGAAGTAGGCAAGAAAGAGATGTTCAGAGGCTTGATAATATAATCTGAAAATGTTGGCAGAAAAGGGAAGAAATGAGCAAAGCAAATGGTCAGAATTGTACAGTGTCTAGAAATCTATTCTTTCTCTGTGACTCGGTCTTTGCTTCTGTAATGGAGAGTGACGCTAATGCCAGAACTAAAGCTCCAACATGTTAAGTGACTTTCCAAAGCCACAAGGGTATGTGGCAGAAGCAGGCCATGAACTCCTGGGCTAGAATCTCTGGGTCTGGAGAATGTCCCCATTCCCATGCACCATGGTATCTCTCCTTCAGCTGCTGTCTGGAGAATCATCAACCACTACGAAGAGAAATAACAAAAATTATTATGGGTTGAGACAATTTATTGAATTGCCCAAATAATAAATACATTTTTAATTTGCCTTCCTGATCCATGAAAATCCTGTCTATTAAATAAATGCAAAGATCGAATGACATCTCTATACCTCCTGGGATGTGATAGTCTGGGATACCTCTACAGAAAAATATTTAAATGTCTAAAGAATTCAGTCTAGAAAAGTCTCAGGGCAGGGATAATTCAGATCCAAAGGTTTTCTAATCAATAGGTTGTAAACACCATGACACCAGAAAGCCAGGTATCAGTGTTACAGATGTCAGGTGTCAGTTTCAAAACACTGACTAACAGAACAACAATACTATTTTAAATTAGATAAAACTCTTTTTATTGATGACTACTACCCCAAAGTCAGCAGCAGTGGAGTTATTCTGATTTTCTCCTTGACATAATCCCCTAGGAGTGGTGTCTACCTGAGTTTTTGTGGCAGCAGTTACCTCCAGAATGCCTGTAGCAAAAAACAGGGAGTTCCTCCATCCCCCGGCCGTGGATGTCTGGACTCTTTGGTGATGAAACAAAAACATCTGTTAAAGAAAACCCCAAACTTATTAGGCTAAATGAAATAAGTCAGAAAGAGAAACATTAATACCATATAATGTCACTTGTATGTGGAACCTAAAAAATAAAACAAATGGATAAATAAACAAAAAGCAGAAACAGACCCATAAATACAGAGAACAATCTGTTGGTTGCCAGAGGGGATGGGAGGTTGGGAGAAGAGCAGAATGTGTGAAGGGGAGTGGGAGGTACAGGCTTCCAGTTATGGAATGAATACATCATGGGGATGAAATGTACAGCATAAAGAATATAGTCGATGATAGTATAGCAGCATTGTATGGTGACAAGTGGCAGGTACACTTGTGGTGAGCAAAGAATAAAGCATAACGATGTTGAATCACTATTTGGTACACTTGAAACTAATGTAACATTGTGTGTCAACAATACTTCAATAACTCCCCTCTCAAAATTTTCAGAACTGAGACTCTCAAAACATAAAACTAGTTACTTCTCAGAAGTACTGCAGAGCCTTTATAATAACCCAGCTATTCCAGATGTTTAGAGATAAATTTCTCACAGGTGCTGACTTTGGGTGAAATGTACCTAATTTTGTTAATCAAAAACGTTTTAAATTTCTGTCACTAGAGAATTTTTAGTTTCTTTAGGGAATTCTTTGCACAAAGAAATGATGAGTTACTTAAGTGGATTTTAAGCTAGTATTTGGCATATTAAATTACAAATTGAAAACCTAGTTAAGTTCAATCTATGCATCTCGTTAGGATTTTTGTATAAAATAAGAAAACTACTTTTGTGATTATTAATTCATTAATATTTGACTGATATATGTTGAGTAGGCTAAATTCTCCTGAAGCAAACAGTGCTTTTTATAAACTTAGTTAATGCAGTGCCTTAAAATATTTAAAACTTAGTTAATTAAATGCCTTTAAAATTTAAAACATAAAAACACTTGACTGTATTTTATTTTTAAACACTTCAAATGACTACTGGGGAAATTTCTAGCCTTAATAAGCAAAACACTGCCAAACAAAAAAATGACTTAAATAAATTTAACAAATGTAAATAAATTTACATGGCAAATCAAGTTCTCAATATCCCAATGGTGTCTGAACTGGTTGGTATGCTGTT